AACTGGGTGAGGTGCGCTTCTAACAACTTCGTTTATTTCACATGTTCAAGTTTTTTGGACTAATAAACTAGGGAGTGGTAGATGTTTTATACTTAAGAAAAGATAAGTTGGCTATTAGTGAACACCCTCGAGGACAGATTATATTTCCACGCATATCACACTGGTCACCACAATCGCGATATTTCCGTCATGCAAGTCAAACTGACTCATAAAAGTTACGTAAGTGAAGGTGCTTGACCAAAGCCTCTGCATGATCTCTCACAGACGAGAACAGGAAAGCGGAAGTCTTCCCTGCGTTAGCCCTATGCGACCACAGATGCTACTAATTGATTCCATTAAGGAAGCTGTAATGTTTGTGCTCTGAAAACTTAATATTTCGAGGGTCGTATAACAAACACAGTAGAACTGGTTCACCATTATGTTTTGGTGAATGGAACTCGGGTGGATCATCGTAGACCACACATGATGCTTCATAACTCAAATTAAGTGTTATGTGAAATTGTGGCACGCGATGTCCGACATGGTAAGCGTGAGACATCCAGCTACCTGTACTCATCTACATCAGACAAAATCTTTGAATCACCTCTCAGTGCTACACCCTACCATCTGCGAATCTAACGTAGGACCCTACAGCTCTGCCATCAAGTTAGCATCCTATTACGACACCGATCATTCTTTTCTAAATGGCCTATCTTCATTGAACAGGAACATTGCCAAGGAATGCAAAAATTGTCTACTGAAATGCCTTTATCATCAGACCTTCCAGTCACCAAACATAATAGTGAAACAGCTCTACCTGTTCCATCATCCACACAACTCTTGTCTGTTACTCTAAGCAGTTAGATTGTCACGCTGTCAAAGGCATTGAATGACATCTCTCCTTGAAACAACAGTGACTTTTAAGTGACACGTGAGAATTCTTGCATACAGAGATACAACCACCCGGTAAAGCATGTCACGCCATCCATGACACCAATAAATGGACACCAATCCCACACAGTGGGGTGAAGAAGATAAGAAGACTGTTGATGAGTAGGTTCTGATTTTTGTCTTCTCTGTAAGACGGTTGCCCTGGAATTTGGCCTCAGCTCTTCAAGAACGCAATATTTCAAGTCGAAGTGATGAGGAGCACTCAATGAGCAGATTAGGGTGAAGGCATTGTGCAAATGGACAGTAAAAACTTTGGTGCTTAATTAGAGATTACTGATTAAGGCATTTTACCAGACAGCCGATTCGCCTTCTATTCACAAATACTTTACTTTGAAGAAATTGTTGTTTCACCCGAACTAAAGCCACTGCAATCCGTCAGATAGTCACCGACTTGGAATCCGTCCATAAATACAGCGACTCTGCTACAGATATACGATTGTAGAGCTGTTCTCTACTGCACAATTGAGGGTGCGAATCCTTCCCTATCTTTGGCGAATACACCAAGAACATCAATCCGTCGAATTTGACATTAACTGAATTGCAATTACGCCTGTGACACTCCGCATTTTCAACGCACACACACTAATTCTCATGCTTTGATTTAATGAACACAATACCTACCAGTCATCAAAGTCTATCTACAACTGTTTGTCAAGGTTATATTGTCTTCCTGCTCTCATAAAAGAAGTTTCTTATCCTGTAATGTGCTGAAAATAACGAAAGCCAGCTGAACTGTGTAGAGCTCTCTGGGTCCTTGGAGTCTTTGATTAGGTCAATTTATGTGACAGCTAACGTACTACTGATATCAGGCAGAGCAGGAGGGATAATGAGCAGAGTCAAAGGAGAGCTCCGTCAGGCAGTAGCACAAAGTCAGGAGAAGGAGGAATTTGAGGAGTTTAAGATTTGAGTGAAGAGGCATCTGCAGTGCCTTCTTTGAAATCCTTCTTCAATGACTG